GCCGTCCGGGGCCGCCCGAAGCGGGGCCCGAAGAGGCCGCCCGAGCCGGGCCGAGGCCGCCCGAAGCCGCCGCCCGATTAGGGACCGAAGCAGAGCCCGGCCTCCCACCGAGCTGAGCCGAGGCCGCCTCCCGAGCTGAGCCGAGCCGAGCCGAGGCCACGATTCGGGAACCCAGGAAGGCCGAAGCTTCCCGAAGTGTTGACCGAGTCTCTCCGAATGGTTCCGAGCGGTTCCTTCGCACTCCCCAGGAGGCTAGGTTGGGTGTCTTCACCAGCCGACGCAGCTGGGCAGCTCTGGGCCGAGTCTCGCGGGCCTCTGACACAGCTTGGCCTCGCAGGGAATGTCCGGTGCCACCAGCTTCTCCCGCCCCCGCCGACGACGGAAGCCGAGGAGGCCCGAGGCGGAGCCGAGCTCCTCCGAACGTCCCCGAGCCTGAACCCGAACCCTCCCGAGCCTAAGCTCCCGCCTCCTCCTGTACGAAAGCGCCCGAGCGCTGCCGGACGGCGAATCGGCTCTGCCGCGGTCCGACGCTGCTCCTGGGATCGGCGTGCAGAGCGAAGATGGCGGAGGGGCGCGGCCGAGAGGCTGCCGGGATCGCGGCGGACCCGGCGGCAAGATGGCGGTCGCGCGGCCAGGTGAGCGGGCGGGGCTGCTCTCTCGCCATGTAGCTGTGGTCCCGGCCCGGAGCACGGGACTGGCACCTCCAATGGCCGCCTCTCCGCCGTGCTAACCCTGGCGGACGCGGCTCCCTTCATTCGGACGTTTGCGGGACGCCTTGGAGCCGCTCCTGGGCCTGGGAGGGAGGGGCGCGACCGCGTGTGCTGTGCGGTGGACCTCCCCGGGCACACCTACCCCGGGCACACCTACCCTGGGCACACGTGTGGGCACTCCTGGCAACCTACCTGGGATACCCGCGGGCACCCCCGGGCATACCTACCTGGGCACACCTACCTGGGGCACACCTAGGCACACCCGCGGTTCACCCTGGCGTACCCGTGGCTCACCTGTGCACACACCGGACACACCTGCTGCATACCAGGGCACACCCTGGGCTCAGCCCTGCATACATCTACAGCACACACACCTGATGCACACTCTGCACATCTGTGGCTCACCCCAAGCACACGTGTGTGCACTGGCTGGGAGCCACCCCTGCCTTGGAATCTGAGGCCTGGCGCTGGGATGAGAAGCTGGGATGGGCAGGGCCAGGCACCAGCAGCCCAGGTGGGATGCTGATCACAGCCATTGCCAGCCTGTGGCGTCCATGGCTCCGCCCTCCCAAACGTTCCGCGTGGAACACAGTTTGGATGTGTCTGGTGTTGCAGACACTGCGGCTACCTAAGAGGCTCCGGCCACAGTACTGGTGGTCGTCTGTGACAGTGCCCACCACTCCATTTGGGACTAGCTTATAGTCCTCTGCAACTCCGAATAATTATTGCGATAAAAAGACAACCCCTGTGTGAGATGGGGCCGTAGAATTACTGTCACATCACCTGTTAAAGGCCTGATTTCCATGTCCCTTGGCAAGGGGATGCATTAAGCAGTGGCAGACCACGCCACAAAGAACCACGCATGTGTGTTAGTTTGCACAGGGCTTCCAAGTTGCCAGCCATTGTCTGGAAGTCCTCTGCCAATTAGATTTGTTTCTGTATTTTCATTTGCTAAAAGTAAAGAGTTGGGGCTCTGGCACTGTGATAGAGCACTTTTCTACTATGCATGAGGTCTTGGGTTCAAACCTCAGTACAGCAAATATTAAAAATAAGAGTTTATATCAGGCAGCATCTCTTCCCAACCTTGCCCATCACACTGGGGAAAACATTCTCGTTTACTTACACACTGCTGGTAGTCACATTGTGCTTACAGTAAATCATTGGCAATAAGTGTTAAGTCCCAGAGACAGAGCTGTGTTCAGTCAAAATGAGCTCCTTTTGGTCTGAAATTGTTAGGACAAGATCTGAATGTACCTGCCCTTCATGTTAATTACTTAGATGGTATGTCATGTAAGGTTTTTACACAGTGCTTGTTCCCTAAATCCCACCATTATGATCTGTAACAATGGGCAACTAGCTGGGTGTGGTGTCCGATGCCTCTGATCACAGCACTTGGGAGATGAACGCAGGAAGATCAAGGCAAGTTCGAGGCCAGCCTCAGCTACAAAGTGAGATCAAGGCCAGCCTGAACTGTATAGCCAGATCCTGTCTCAAAGCAAAACACACCAGTGGGCAACCAGTAAATGCATTTGCAGTGATTCTGTTGCTAGCTTTTTTATTATTTTATTTTTCTGATGTTGGGGATCAAAGCCAGGGCTTCAATCTTTATGCTAGACAGGTGCTGTATCGCTGACCCACCCCTCTGGCTCTGACACCAACCTTTAAGAGAAGGGTCAGGAGTGAGGAAAACCCCACTTATTGTGAAACCCCCAATTAAAGTGAAACCGACCCAAATAATGACAGGTATTTAGGTAACCTAGTTCAGCTGGGGCTGGAAAAGATCGGGTTTAGAAAGCACCTGCCGTAAGGTGATGCTGCGCCTTCACCCTTGGCTTCCTGCTTCTGCACATGTGCCCGCTAGGAGCCATGGACAGGGTCTGTTACTGAATTTACTGCCCTGTGACTCCTGCCCATGTGAGAGTCCACAGCTCTGTCACAGCGGGCCCCAAATGTGCCAGGGAAGTCGGATCAACCCCTAAAACCCACCAAGACTGGAATTCTTTCCTTCTTTCCTCTGGAGTCTGGGTTCATAAAGAAACTGATGCTCAGCCCTGTGGCAGTGATACCTCAGAGACTGCTCCACAGCTGATAGTCAAAGATGGGACTAGACCTGACTGGGAGCCTGGGTTCCCAGAAATACAGACTTTTTTTTGTTGTTCAGTGCTGGGGACCAAACCCACAGCCTCACACACACTAGACAAGTGCTCTACTGCCGAGCTAAACCCCAGCCCCTAAAATATTCCAGTTACAGTTTTTGAGCCCAATTCAGGTTTGCACGGGTGTGCACATACAGGTGTGTGCACACATGCATCTCCAGTGTGCACCTGGTGTGAGCCTCGGAGACAGGCAGTCTGGTCCAGGACACATTCCCTTCCAGACACCAGCCAGAGGGGTCATCAGGACAGGGGCCTGTGCCTCTAGTAGGGTAGGAAAGATACCTGCAGCAGGGTGGGTGGAGGACTGAGGCTGCACAACTGAGGGCTGCTTTAGACAGGTTCTTTCCACAGGGATATTGTGGGGAAATGGATAAAATTCCAGAGCAAAACAAATGTCTATGACCAATTCAGAAAAAGGACTTCGTGGAGGACACATCAGAAAGTCTGTGGATGCAACTGCATCCACGTGACACGTGCAGAGATCACATGTGATGAGAACCTCTGCGGCTGGGTTTAGCCCCAGGTGTTCCTCTCTGAAGTGTGAGTCTTGCTTTTCCAGTCCAGCCTAGCTGTGGGCCAGTGGGAGGTTCTCCCTCTGCCCCTGCACCATGCTGCAGGGTGCAAGTGTCCCCAGGCTCTGTGTAGAGGCTCAGATGATGAATTCCTCGAAGGGACGGATGCAGAGGTGACAGCAGAGACTTAGCTGTGGGCCCTGTAATGTTCACTTCCTCCTGTAACAGGCGCTTGGTGGACTGAGACCATCACCATGCTGCTTTGTAGCCCGGGAGAGCCTCCTGTAGGACTGAGACTCACTAACCGTCCTTTCTCTTCCAGGGAAAGGTTCCTCCTCGGTGGTATCCTGCATCAGCTGCATCCTGCACCCTCTGTCGAGCCCTGGCTCTGGCAGGCTGCCCCTTGGGGCTGATCACGGCCGGCAGCCAGCTCTCTGCCTTTTCCTTTCATGCCCACCCCACCTTTTCCTTACATTGAGAGGGAGGAGTGTTCTGACAGATGAGAGAACTGGTCAGACTTCCTCCAACAGGGATGTCTGGGCGTCATCACCCACCCCCAGCCCCCGGCTCTGTTCCCTTTGTGAGACTGGTGCCCCAGGGAGGCTCCGCTCCCTGCCAAGGGCCACCAGGCAGAAAGATGAAGACCTCCTATTTTGGATGGGCACAGACTTACAGAATGAAAGCAAAAAAGTATGCCAAGTTAGGAAACTATTGGAGGACATTTAACTGCCCCCAAGCTGAGAGATATGTTTGTTTCCTTGAAGAACATGACAGTACTACTCTTTTTTCTAATTTGTAGCAAGTGCCAGGTCAGGTCACCCAGAGCACCAGGTGGAGCTCCTACCAGTCCCCAGGGGCTCTGTGCTCCAACCTGTGCTCTGCTGGAGTGGGAAGGGTCCTGCCTTGCCTTTGTGCCCCCCAGGAGCTGGCATGGCTGTGGAAGCCCAAGAAAGGAAGCCAGTGCTAGGCCTCCATGGCCACCTGCAGGTGCCCATCTGTCAGAGCCTGAACCAGACCTGCTTGTTTGTGGCCACAGGACAGATGGCAGAACCAGCCTCTCTGGCTTAGCTGCCTGGACAGGTACACCCCAGAGTGCTGAGCTCAGGATCCTTGACCGCTTACCAGCTCTCCTCAGTTCCTCTTCAAATGCTGTTTCATCTCAGCGGGCTGTACTGCACCCTGTATTTTCTGGCCATGCTCCTGATGATCATATATAAAAGTAAGTCAGTGGCCAGGAGTGGTGGCACATCCCTATAATCCCAGCACTTGCGCGGCTGAGGCAGGAGGATTGCCACAAGTTCCAGGCCAGCTTGGACTATATAGCAAGACCCCGTCTCAAAAAAGTAAGTCACTCGGAGAGGCTGAGGCAGGAGGATCCCAAGTTCAGGCCAGGTCTGGGCAGCTTAGTGAAACCCTGTCTCAAAATAAAACTTTTAAAGCCAGGCGTGGTGGTGCACGCCTGTGATCCCAGCACTTGGGAGGCTGAGGCAGGAGGATCCCAAGTTCAGGCCAGGTCTGGGCAGCTTAGTGAAACCCTGTCTCAAAATAAAACTTTTAAAGCCAGGCGTGGTGGTGCACGCCTGTGATCCCAGCACTTGGGAGGCTGAGGCAGGAGGATCATTGTGAGTTCAAGAGCAGCCTGGGCTACAAAGTGAGCTCAAGGCCAGCCTGAACTGCATAGCAAGACTGTCTCAAAAAGACAAAAAAAGAAAAAACAAACTTTTTAGAAAGGGCTGAGGATATAGCTCTGTACAAAAGCCCTGGGTTCCATCCCCAGTGTGGGTTGGAGTTGGGTCACATACAGCATGATGGGAAGAACCAGCTCCTGCCATTTTGAAGGCAGCCAAACTCTTGTCACCCCTAGGTCAGGTTTTCAGCTATCCTCACAACCGCCTGGGCCTGGACCTGGCACTGCTGTCTCTGATGGGGATTCTGGAAGCAGCAAGGCTGTGCCTGGGTGAGTCAGCTGTGAAATATCCAGGGCTGTGGTGCCGGGCTGCCTGCAGCCTTGGGGTCTGTGGAGCGTAAGCACTGTGTCTTTGGGCTCCTGGAGACGTTCTCCCCAGATGGTGCTCCAGGTGCTTCGCCGCACCCCCTTACAGCGTCATTAAGTATTAACCATTTCTTAGAGCAGCGACAGGTGACATGGCTGCCACTTGCACGTCTGGAAGCATATCCCATGACAACACTGAGATCAGAAGCCAGCTCCAGGGCACCCCTGTGCCCACCTTCCCTTGGCCCACTGGGTCAGTTTGGGGTACTTTGTTAAGGCCCTGTCCAGCTTGGGTCCCAAGTCCACTGCTACCTTGAGGCTGAATCCCGGTTCTGTAACTGCAGAGTCACCTTCTACAGTACCAAGGCGGGCAGCAGGCACACCGGGAACCTTCCTCCCCAGGCTGGCCACTGCCCCTGGCCTCCACTCACCCTCTGCATTCTGCCTGGCTTTGCAAGGACAGTGGCCCTGTGTGGGAGAGGAGCAGGTCCACTCCACTGCCAGTCCCTGAACCTGCACCTCCCCATGGCAGTGAGGAGACAGGCTGGGAGCAAGCTGGCCCCACCCTTCCTGTTTTCACACTGGGACCCCATGTGGTGTGGCTGAGGCTCCTGCTGCCTGTGCTGTGCTGAATCTTACAGTCCCACATGCATGGACTGCATAAACCCTCCTGACACCCCAGGCCCACAGGGTAACCCAGGCAGCTGGGCTCAGCTGCTGGCAGCTTTGAGTCGGCATTTTCCACGACTGACCCACTTGTTTGTGAAATGTGCAGTTTTGGTTTTTATAAGCACTTGTGAAATTTTCCAGGACTGTCTGAGCCCGGAGTAAAATACTTTTGGAAATTCTGAACAATCCCTTGGGGCCTTTGTAGGAAGGTGGCAAATATCCATGTTTTAGAAACCAGTTGACCTGATGGCGGGCCCAAGGCTCGCCATAGGTGCTGGGCATCCTGCAGCCTGCTCCTCACTCTTCCCCTTTTCCTGCCCCCCAGGCACAAAGGGCAACCTGATGGAGGCCGAGGTGCCGCTGGCCGCTAGTCTGGCCCTCACGGCAGGCAGCGGGCTGCTTTCCATCCACTTCCTGCTCTGGCAAACCCTGGTGCTGTGGGCAGACTGGGTTCTCAGTGCCACACTCCTGGTGCTGCACAGCCTGGAAGCCGCCCTGCAGGTGGTAGCAATCGCAGCCTTCATCAGATAGACCCACCCTGCCAGGACCCTCCCCAGCCTTCCACGTCCTGCCAGTGTGCCGTGGGTGGTTTATCTCTGCAGGTGGAAGCAGTAAGGAGGGCAGAACACACCCTGTGGGAATCCCAGAGGAGTCCACTCAGACCCTGTCATGGTCCTGGCTGCGGCAGCGTTGACCACCAGGGCCCAGGGAGGGTAGAGCCCTTCAGACCTTTTTTTTTTTTTTTCCAGCTCCCTGGGCTCAATCCCCAGTATTGAAAGGGGGAAAAAAAAAGATAACTGACTTTGTAGTAGGTTTCCTTCATTTGTTGTGTATTTTCTGTGTTTGAAATAACATTGTGTTCAAACATCTACTTCTCACTGTATTTTTAAATAAATGTTTATATCTCAAGAAGCCCTCTCAAAGATGGCCACCCACTTCCCCATGGTCTGGTACAGAAGATTCAGTCCCCTTGCTGCCCTCCCACCCTCCACAGAGTGCCCAGCCAGGACACCTTGGGGGCCCAGGCCTCCTCCCTGCCTGTCCTTACATGGCCCTTTGCCAGCCCTTTGACCTGGGTCCCCTAGAGGCCATGGTGAGTGTCAGGACTGAGACCCACTCTCCACTCCCTGAGCTTCACTGAGCTCCAACAGCAGGGGAAGAGCTGGTGTTCCTGGGGCCACCTCCCAGTGGGACACACACGCTCTGTGTGTGCAGGGCCTGGTGAGTGTGTGCTGGCTGTGCACTGGCCAAGGACCCTGCTGCCTCCTTACCAGATGGGGCCTCAAGCCCTGACTCCCACGCTCCCAGGCCGCACACAGGCACTGGTCCCTGTTCCCAGGGGTCCATGGCAGACCGCCATACAGCACCAGAACAGGTACCCGCGTGATGTGCTTGGTGAGCACGCTCTCGGAGCAGGGGTCCCACCCAGCTGTTCCTGAGACTGCCTGTTCTAGCTCTGCCCAGGAAGGGTGAGGGCAGTGGGTGACCCCTGGTGCTGGGCCAGGCAGGATCACTCATGGAGCAGGTTCTGTGAGATCAGCCACCAGGGCTGTGAACCAGGAAGCCAGCTGGTTTGGGGCCTGGAGGACAAAGGCCACTTCCTGCCATCTCAGCAAGTGCACCCCTGCCCCAGGTGCAGGCTGGGAGCAGGCCGGAGAGGGCACTGTCTCCCCAGGAAGTGTGCCCAGGGCAGAGCCAGCGGCCTGGCAGTGCCCATCTCCTCTCACAACAAACACCCTGCCCGGGCTGCTTCTGCGTTCATCCCACCACAGCCTGGCCAGAGCGCCGCTCCAGCCCCCCAGTCTCCTCCGCGTCTGGACGCCCCAGGGAGGACCAGCCTGGGAGTCTGGGTGAGGACAGAGCCAGAGCCAGGACCGGGCGTGGATATCCCCAACAGGCACCCTGCGGTGGCGTGGGCTGTGGAGGGCCAGGGGAGCTCCTGGAGTGGGGAGGAGGGGCCCCATCCCACCCACTTGGACTCTGGTTCTGGCCTCCATCCTACTTCCGACCCCCACCCAGACCAGTGTCTCCGCCCCAGAGTCTCGGCCAAGGCACAGGCGGCTGAAGAGGCCCCGGGGCCACTTGAGGAAGGGTCACTGGCAGGGTCGGCGCTCACACACCGGGCAGGAGCCCGCCAGACTCCCTGCGGCCCGCAGCCCCCACTGGAGGGATCCAGGGCAGGGCCCTGCGTTCCGCGCGCCCTGAGCGGTGGCTGAGGGATCCCGGGTGGCACCCGAGGCCCGCGCGGCCCCGGGCGGGGTGGGGCGGGGCGTCCGG